ATTTAACAAAATTAAATTTTTAGCAGACTAAAATTTTCCTGCCTATACAATAATTCTTTATCAAAGTCTTTTTATTGAATACATACTTCATGCTCATTATTTTTTTTAATTTGCTATTAATTTTTCATATTTAATTCACAAAGCTCTTAATGATGTTTGATTAATTAAGCTACACACACTTTATATAAAACAAAACTAGAATTAATTTTATGAATTATTTTATCAATAATTCTTAATTATACTTTAAATGAGAAAATTTTTCAGCTCTTTAAAATTGTTTTGGCTAAAATTTTATAGTCTTTATTTTCCATATTCAATTAAATTCTATTGCTAAATAAATTTAAATGTATTTTACTCCTGGTAAATATTCTTTTTTGATCCTTAAGTAACCAAATTACAATCACTGTAGATTCTAAATAAAAATTCATTTCCTTTAACAATCATAAAATATTTTGTTGTTGTTAATATCATAGATGAAGAATATTTTCAATAATCATTTTAATGAATAAACATAGTTTTTAATTAGGGGTCAACTTAATCTTACTTTATGATCTTAAGTAGGAGAAGAAGAGAACTATGCATCATATTGAACAAAAAAACAGTATTGCAAATGATCCTTGTTTCTTTAGAGCTGTCCTTCCTAATTTGTAAGCAACTGCAGAATATAAGTTGGGATTTGCCTTTCGAAAGATGACAGAAACATGTCCTACAATAAGCTTTTTAACCTTTTTGTTAAGCTCAACTTCCTAGAATATATCTCAATCAATCAAAAAAATTTGGGAGAAGAAAATCATTTCAACGATCTTTAAAGGTCACAGTCAAAATCGGCGCTTTTGCACAATTAACTAGTAATTCTGATTTATTAGACTTTGTGGTTTTATTTATAGCCGAGATAGGATTAGAAGCTACTCACATATTAATTACTTTTACCTCTATTTAAAATTATTCCAATAGGTAACCTTATCTCCAATCCAAAATATTATTATTTAATTTTTAAAGTTCCATTTTATTTATGTTGGATGAATTTGAAAACTTATGTATGCTCCTTGCTTTATTTCCCTATCTTTGAATAAAGTAATAAGATGAATATTATAAAATTTAACTAGTATTAAGATTTTATATTATTCATATAAAAATATCAATGAATTGAAATCTTATGAAGATTATCATTTATAAATTTAGCAAATCATCCAATGATAAGTAAATTTATAATATGAGAAAAAATTAATGTCATTTATTACCAAAAAATTAACTATATTTATTTTTGTGTAAAAGACTAAGGTAAGGCCAACTAAGGAATTTGATTAATTAATCTAATCTTTTATATTTGAAACATCCTTCAAAAATTATTCAAGTCAGAAAATCATCATAGGTATATTTAATAGATTTTCAAAGCTTAATAAAGAAGGTTCTTCTTTTGGATTAAGATAGTTAAATCAAATAATTTAAGAGAGCAATATTGGAAAATTGAGGATGCAAGAAATCTATTATAAAAATGATATATTTTCTAATTTAACGTGAAAATTTTAATGAGATTTTAAGATAAATTTATTTATACTTAATGATGGAAGTATATAAATTAATAGTAATTAAATTACAATATCAATCATACAAATAAAATGAGTAGTTGAAAATGTACAATATGTATCTTAGTTGAGAGGTGAATATAATCTTATTGTTATTAGCAAATTCATGGATAATGGAGGGAATGATAGTAGTAGAAGAGAAATGGCTCAAAAAATCAAGAAGGAACAATTTACTATATATTTTAGATGAGTCCAACAGCTTATATTGAAGAGAGAGATAGTATATAAACTTTTAACAAAAGTTTCTGATGTTAGAACAAATGTTGAATTTTTATAGGACCAATAAATCTAAGATTATTGAAGAACATATAAATGATATATAGTTTTGTAACTTATTGATGGTATAATGAGCCTCACTTAAACATTAATATTAAAGACTGCTTAATTGGCCAAAAGAAAAATGACTTAATTTTAGATGTTCAAGCATCTCAGAAAAGTTGTCTTATAGTTATTAAAAAAATCCACAAAAAAATAAATTGAATAACTATTCACAATTAAAGTGATAGAAATCGAAAGGTGATGGATTAAAAAAATTGATACTTCCAGTAAAAGAAGTTTTATACTTAAAGATTAATTGAGGAGCACGCATGTTAGAAAAAATATTAATCTTGATTAAAATGAGAAAATAATAAATAGGAAGATTTTATCGAGTATTTGATCAACATCTATAACCTAAATCCAATTATTAAATGCATATATCTTTAAAAAAAAGTAACAAGTTTTATTCTTATAATATTCAATATTAAGAAAGACTAACCTAGAATCCATTAATTATTATTGGCAATATAGATGCAATATCCATAGAAATTATTAAAAAGTAATAGTATTAGGATTAAAAGAAAATTAATATTTAAAAATTGAAAGAGTAGAAGTGTTAAATGATTAAAACGTTAGAAAAAAGATACAAGTCAATCTAACTAATAAGAAAGAGTAAATATAAGATTAGGAGCTAAGTCAAGAAATTAATTTTCAATGTTTTTACTGTAAAAGGAATACGTGAAGATATAGGATTAGAAATGGAAGAATGTTATGTGAAAAGTACTTATTGCAAGGGCTATAGGTTATCTTATTAAGAAGCATGGGGGATCTCTAAAATTATTTAATATTGAGCACAAAGTATTTTTTGCAGATGTATCTAATTATAGCTAAAATAATTCTAAGAACAAAAAATTTGCCTTCTATTCTTAACTGAAGCAGACCTTTTTATGCTAAATTTAGTAGATGACAAGGATATCTAAAATAAAATTGCAAAAGAAGAGGGCTGGATTGGAATACAAACTTTTGGGAA